AGTATCCAGTGAGCTGCGCGACGTCGCGTCGCCGCGACCGCGCACGCTGCTCATGAGGAAGAACCCCTCTGTGATTCGAAACTAGTAGAGCTTTTCTCAGTATATTCACGTGAGTAACCCGCGATTTTACTTAATTTAGTATGTCTCACGATAGTTATTATAAAAACGGTAGAACCTTCTTGAGGTTTTCGCCGCATTTCCAACAATTATGGACGGTAAATTAATATACAGAAATTATATAAAATAGAACCGTGTATGGGTAAGCCAAATATTAAATCTACATCAATTTTAAAACTGGACAAATAAATACTATTTCACGAAGTTCAAAAAGTCAAAGAACAAACGTCACAGAAATGAACAAAACGACTCTGTATAATTAAATAGAAACATCTAAAGGTTCGCGTTTTCGGCGACAAACATTTTATGTAAACTTTTATTCGATGATCTAAAAAATTTTGTCACGCACTTTTATGTAATGATACACACTATTGTATAATAAAGTATTGTACAATTTTCTACTAATCTAATTATAATTGTGTTATGAACACGCTGAATCGGATTATAATCGTTTTGCAAACTAAATGAAACATTGTTTTTATCATCATTATCACTCACATTGTTGGCATATTTATCAAACGAATGTATGACCTTAATCTGAAGCTAACAAGGTATAATTTACAATACGTGATATGGAAACTATGGCAAAATTCCATATAAAACCGGCACGTAATTACAGTTGAAAATGTTCGTTTAACTTAATAAAAGTTCTCGTTAGAAGTTTAAATAAAGTTTAGTTGAGCTAAATGCAATACAGACGAATTAAATTTCCATGTAAATTATAAATGACGTTCCCGAGTAGATAGTTTCTGCATTTAGCCGAACTACCTCTAGTACTTACGTTAATTATGTTGTTAAAGGTTAACATGAGCTGATCGCGTTAGTTTTCCCTCGTGAGCTGTGCACAGATGAAATGTAGATGTACTTTTAGAATGATGATGGCAATTAACATTATTAAAAAAAATGGGATAAAGAATCACTGAACTCATTTATTTTCGGATTTACCAAGAAGTAAAAATGTTTCATAAATATTTTGGCACAGACATATTAGGTAGGTATACATAATCAGTTATTTTTGAAGGAGGGAAATCATGGAATGACTTCTCCCGCCTTGGTGAGATGGGAGGGAGTGCCAGACTCTTACTGACTAAAAAAAACCACCCTGTTCCTACTGTTGCACTTCGCGCCGGAGCCCCGGTAACCCATTAGGATAATAATGCACTCTTGCACTCCGCGGCTCACATAATCAGAAATACGTTTAAATTAAACCAACTTGATTTCTGAGATAGGTCTTTTTTTGAGAAAAATGAACTTCAGAAAGTAATTTAAATCTATCAGAAACCGCAATTCTGCCTCATTCTCGTCTTTTCATAACAACGTAACATAACAATTTTATTATATAACAACCAAAGTCAAATTATATTTATAAGAACGATAATGTAGTTTTGTGTTATTAACCCTTTTCGTTTAAGAGGCAATTGAGTGCAGACAATAGCCGGGTAGGTCGGAAGTACCCGGGTAGGCAGGAAGCGCCTAACCGGGTAGAATTCCCGCACTGAAGGGACCCACAACGAGCTTTGTTTTAAGAATAGTTATCAAGAATTTATGTCATTCTTATTTCTTGTAAGTTACTGTTCTAATGTATGAGATAAGTAATAAGGATGTTTATATAATGTATCCTATTTTAATGACTGCCTAGTCATATCAGATGTCGTGGAGAACCTAACAGGTAACCGGGGCTCCGGCTCGACGTGTAGGAGAAGGAAAGGAGTGGTTGTTTGTCAGTAAGAGTCTGACACTCCCTCTCGCCTCACCCAGGCGGGAGAAGCCATTCGATGATTTCCCCCCTTAAAAAAAAGTCATATCAGATTTTCAATTAATTATTAATTAGTAAAGTAGTAAAAGACTGGCTCGTTGGCCGAGTTTTCGCAAGTGTAAATGCAGGGCAAAGTATTACTGGGTTTTAAAAAAAAATCTCAGTAGCAGCCCGAAATCTGTAATTGTATCTATATTGTAGTATATGGCAATAGGCTCACCCCCTAATACATGGGACTCATAACATAAGTAAATAGTGGAAAGTGGGTGTTACATTGTACAATAGTTAAGTGCCGTAATGTGCACCTCTGCCTACTCCTTCGGGGATAAAAGGTGTGATATTTTGTTATGTTATGTTATTAATTAGTACTAACATAGCTTACCTAATTATGAATTAATGTCATCACATTAAATATGTTTGTTAATTGTATCAATTGCTTGATATCACAATCGAAATTATGTTCTAAAATTGAACTAGGATTTTCTAAAACAAATAACGACGAAATAAATTACAGTGAAAACTAACATTTAAAAAAAAACTGCTCATCTCCAAATCTTAACACTAACAGACCGGTCAAGGAGACCAACCTCTTTACTTAAGTCATTCAACCAAACCTAACTACAACTCTGTCATAACATAGTAAAACACTACAAGACGGTCCCTAATCCAGGGCTGCGAACTGTCATCGGAGATAAAACTCTTGACCGCTGTAATCTTACCAAAATAATCCCTTTGTCGTCTTACAACCCCCATGGGGGATGACACTCGAGTAGTTTCAGCTAGCTCTTCGACTATTACGACCTCTTATTTTCCTTAAGGGTTCATTGAACTTATTTTATTAGGTCGCTAACGTAACTATAAGAAATTTTATGTAGAAAGGTATAAAACTAGGTGTAATAATACTGACTGCCTCGTTGTCCGAGTGGTCGCAAGTGCGACCGGGCAAGGGGTCTCGGGTTCGATTTCCGAGCCGGGCAAAGTATTACTGGGTTTTAAAAAAAAAACTCAGGAGTAGCACGGAGTCTGGAATTGTGCCCGGTATATGGCAATAGGCTCACATGTTACATGGGACTCATAACATAAATAGTGATGATTACTTTGTGTGTATAAAGGTATAAAACTTCTATGATAAACGTTATACGAATACTATTTCTTTTTTTTTTCGCTTTCAGAGTCGACTAACCAGTGTTGAATATTTTATTGGAATATATTCCTTTATTTATGTTATAAGAGAGTTTCATTAAATTCAATGGCTCTAAAACTTCATACCAAATATACCTACATATAAAATGTTTACAAAGAATCACTCTATAATGTAATATGAATTAAAATGGATGATAATTGTTAGCACTATAATTTGCAAAATATTTAGAATTATAAATATATCATTTAGAAATTCTAGTTTAGGGCAATGTACTTTTATAAAAAAAATGTACATATTTGTAGCTAGGAAAATATTTCACTACATGTTATTTTTGAAATTCTAAACCCAAAATAAAATCCTGGAATCCCCGTGCGAACAAACAATGTTCGTTTGTTTATACTTTTTATATTATTTTAGCGCATTGTGTATATTCCACCGCTATCTTTTTCATAACTCTTTACGCACCGAAACGAAGTTCACCGCGTCAAACTTTGAAACAATTAATTCGAAAAAATCTTTCAAATAAATATTAAAATAAGAAACTGAATCTCCAAAACATGTAATTACATCCATGGAAAAGTGCATGTTCTAGAATAAACTTAAATTACTATTACTCAGATGGTAACGTACTTGTTTTTTAGAAGCTTGATGCTGATAACGGGGATGACGTAACAGACTTGGAGAGAGTAATAAAATAAGAAGATTTTTTCACGGGATAAGCCGGTAAACCACCATAAGTATCACCTGATGGTAAGCAAACGGCGTCGCCCATGGACACCCGGAACACTAGAAACGTTTCAAGTACGGTACCAGCCTTTTGCTAATTAGGAACTTGAGGATTATTGGGGATTTAGGGATTGGGGAGATTGGGGTTGGCGGGTAATTGGGCCTCCGGTAACCTTACTCACACGACGAAACACAACGTAAGCGTTGTTTCACGTCGGTTTTCTGTGAAGCCGTGGTATCACTCCGGTCGAACCGCCCCATTCATGTCGTAGCATGGTTCTCCGATTCTTACACAATTTTTAAACATACTAAAATTGGAGCGTCTATATTCACAGTAGTAAAGTCAGAAGTAGAACTATTTTATAGATTATGTTCATCACAAATAATTGTTTTAACTTTTGAATTATTTGTAATTTGATATTGTAAACGTTGGTTTACGCATTAAGTATGAAAACGTGTTAACAAGCAAAGCTTTTCCTAGAAGAAAAATATCTTTTAAGAAATACAATATGAAAAGTCTTCATCTTTTCTTATGTGAAATCTTAAACATCAAAGAAAAATACTTCTGAAATTGTTGTACACACACAAATCATTAAATCTTTCTGAGGCTGGCTCTTGTCTTACTTATTATATCATTCTTTTCTTAAAAAAATAAAAGGAATTTTTTTGACAATTTTTTCACCCATTGAGAGTGGCGTCGGAAAATTTCGTTTATTGTTTTGTGTTATTAGTGAATAAATTTTATGGTTAAAATTAAATTCTCAAAGTGAGTGTTAAATATTTATAGCCTAGCAGTATTGTCTTGTGCTATCGATAATAAATGAGTGAGCACCGACAAATGTCATAGCCAATTAAAACGTAAAATTATATAAAATATGTCCACAATATGTCATAATATTTACTGACACTGTGACCCCGGTTATGATAGCGTTTCATTAATACGGTAAGTACGGTACTTAATTTTTGCAGTGATTTTAAATTTTAATATCGAATAGTAACTATATACTTGTAGGTAGATACTTTTAGTATTCACACTTAGTATATTTTAGTAGAGAAAATAAATTAAAATAGTTTTTATTCAAAACTAAATCACGTCGAGAATATATTTTATACGATTTTGAGAGTTTTATCGTCTGTACTAAGAATCAAAGTCTTTAAAAATACACCTGAACAAAAATATTCAGTGGAACAAAATATGATGACAATAACAAACACCTCTAATTAATAACAAGAGAATATCTCATCAAAAATACATACGTGAAGCACATCCTGGGTTAGAATCCGCACCAAACGAGTATTTGTTTGTAAGTACATTTATGTATGAAACATCACTGACACACACACATGCACTTCATAATCATACATCCAACACTTGGCACAGTACTATACAGTCAACATAATTGTAATTTTACACACCGTGTATAATATAGGGTTATGATATAAAACGACGAGAAACGTCGTAACCATTCGAGGGTTGGTTGTGACTGAGGGCGGGGGTGAGCGCGGCGCGCGGGGCGGGGACGGCGCCGCGCAGGCGGAACAAGCGCCCCCCTCGCCTCGTCCACTATCGGGACCAACTTTATTTTTCTGTTTTCGGATCGGCCACTTATCTTTGCCGGTGCCGATTGATACAAAAGTGCAATTAAAATACGTACATTTCACCTTTTTTCACTGTTCTACTAATTTTTTGCAGTTTCTGAATAATTAAAGTTTTTTGCTTAAGTCCAAAGATACTAAATAGTTTCTTCGTATGTATTCACTCGGAATTTGTTTCACGGAACGTTATTTCAATTCTTCGATTACATTTATAACAAAACTCAAAGATCGTTTTATTTGTTTTAGAAACGTTACTCGTTGTATCTTGTCCGCTCGCGTCGAGTGTCGCGTGGCAAACTAATCGGTTACCGGATTGATGGCAAAGCATTTTCAACTTGCAATTTTTAGGAACTATTCCGTTATTCTGCGCCAACTAAGTTTAGTGAGCTAGCGAACTATGCGCCACCAGATTTTTCGATAAAATATTGTCAGTTTTTTTTCGGAATTCACTTCCCTTATTTTTACAGATTGGTACAACGTTTACCAACCGATAGTGGTCAAAGAAAAACGTTAAAATTTTAGTACAAGTTTAACATAATATTATGTAGGTAGTTTAAAACTACGCAACGATTTCAAATATTTTATCAAAAGCATAACACGATAGAAAAAATAACAAAAATTAATTTGGAATTGTTCAGAAATAACCTTTTTGGCGTTTTATATGAAATGTATTACGCGTATTGGTTGCATTTAATTAACAGTTTTATTTATTTGACATCTTTTCGATTTTGTGTTTCGATTTATTTATCAGCATTTTATTTATTTGTGTTCCATATTACAATTTTATTGGCTTTGATAACTTTTTTAAAGAATATAATTAAAATAGTAAATAACTATGCTTTAATAGTGTGTCAAGGCATTTTAGAGGAGTTAGTCGAAATACTGATAAGTATCGATGTCTCTTTTTGTCATTGATTTTGATTACTTACATTTTTAAAATAAGTGTATTTTAACTGCCTCGTTGGCCGAGTAACGAGTACGACTGCCGGGCAAGGGGTTCGATTCCCGGGTCGGGCAAAGTATTACTGAGTTTTTAAAAAATTCTCAGTAGTAGCACGGAATCTGGAAATGTGCCCGGTATATGGCTATAGGCTCACCCCCTATTACATGGGACTCATAACATAAATAGTGAAAAGTGAATGTTATATTGTACCTCTACAGTGGCATAATGCGCACCTCTGCCTACCCCTTCGGGGATAAAAGGCGTGATGTTACGTTATATATTCTTTTTATTTTCATTTCACACTATAAGAAAGTACACTACCCGTATACTCCATAACTTTAACACTATAAGACTTACTACCTCAATGTAAATCTTAATAAAGTAACTTTATAAGCCTAACGACTTTTGCAGGCGTATGAAAACAGAACAACAAAAGGGACTTCTCACTTTTACTAGACCATCATCATCATCAACAGCCATTAAATGCCCACTGATTAGCACAGCCTCTTCTCACACGGAGAAGGTTTGAGCATTAATCACCACGCTTGCTCATTGCGGGTTGGCGATTTCACACTTATAATTAGAATTTATAAGTCCAAGTTTCCTCACGATGTTTTCCTTCACCGTTTGTCAGTGGTGTCTAAATAATCTTAGAAAGTACTTATAACTCGGAAAAAGTCACATTGGTACTTGCCGTTGGTAGGTTTCGAACCCGCACCCTCATGCATGAGAAGCGGGCGTCTTAACCTCCGGGCCACCACGATATGACATTAATAGACCATACTATCTACATAAATAAACAAAGTGATCTTAACAACAGAAATGTTCAAGGAACCAAAACCAGTGATATTTTCCATGAATTTCAACAAAAAATAAACAAATTCTAGAGGTAGTTGGTAGAGCAAGAAAATAGCGTATTCTTGTTGTTTGCCCGGACAAATATAGGAAATTAGATCGCTTTTTCTTACTTTTGAGTGCTTTTAGTTTATTTATTTTGTTGTAAATGTATTTTTCTATTGTCAGTACTGAGATGGAATGATGTAAAATGAGGACGAAGTATTATAGAGAATTTTTAGGCGAAATTATAATAAATTATTGAGGCTAAGGCCACACTTATATTTACTTCTTCCACTACCCAATCATTTATAGGAACATGTTTTATGAAGTCCGGGAAACACAATGTTTCCTGTCATTTACCTATCATCATTCATGTCTATGCACCAAGTTTGTTATGAGGTCAAAAATATAAGAAAATTGACAATTACTGATAGTATAACGTTGCTAACAATTGATAAATAAAGATTAATATAAAACATCAGAATCAACTTAGTCCACTCTAAGCCCCGATCTTGAATATACTTAAATCCAATCATAAACTTTGAAGCGGTACACGTCAGTATTCTCACAGGAACATTAAGCCCAGTTTATATCAAAAATAAAGAATATTTTCCTTAAATATTTGTTTTACTGCATAATGTCTTCAATATAGACTTGGCTCAGTGCCTATATCTGACGTAACATATACATCTATAAAACATTGCGAAACACTTCGAAACGTGATTGATGATTTTAATCTTCAAGCCAGCCAGCTGAAGTTTATTCCTAAATAATGTTTGAGTACATTTCAATATAACACATTGCAAGGATAACCCTAAGTTTAAAAATCATTACATGATTTGTTACTAAGTGTAGTCTAAAGACTAATTTAATAAATGTTTAATTTTTTTTTAATGGGACAAGCCCGCCACTACCTCCCAAAACCGCTGCAACTCCTGTAAGCCAGGATCTACAGTAGATACAACCATGAAAACACCAGAACACTGAAGTCCGGCGCGTCCCAGGGACATGAGTAACTGTCTTGGTTCCCGCAACGAAGTGAATCAGAAGATATTATAAGAGGAGAAGAAGAAA